GTGTGTGTGTGTGTGTGTGTGTGTGTGTGTGTGTGTGTGAGAGACCCAATAAGATATCATGTCACCATCTCCCTTGTTCAAAAAAACCACTGTCATTTGTAACCCCGAGTTAGGTTGTGTTTTACTGAGCCCCGGTCCCTTCCCTATCTTAAATTCGGGTCTCTCTCTCTCTCTCTCTCTCTCTGCTCTCAGCCCTGTTCCTGCCACCTTTTCTCTCCTCTCTGTCCCTTTTCTGCAGACTCTCAGCCCTGTTGCTTTCTGCAGACTCTCAGCCCTGTTCCCACCACTTTTTGCCTCTTGCCACCTCTTCCCAATCCCTATCTCTCTCTGCCTACACTTTCACACTCTCTGTGCTCTCCAGCCTCCCTCCCCCCCACAGCCCCACTCCCAGGTCTCCTCTCCCCATGTACCTCTTTGCTCCCCTGTAGCCTCCTTGCTCCAGCCTCCAGGCTTCTCCCCAGCTTTACTCTTTTGCTTTTTCTACTTTCAATTAACCTTAAGTTACCCCAACTCCCCTCCAGTCTGCTGGTTCTAATCCTGGCACTGGCAACTTTCATCTCAGTCTCTACCAGCAATAACCTAAAGTAACCCCAAGCCTCAGCTCCTCAATCCAGCTCTCTCTAGTCTACCAGTTCTAATCCTGGTCCCAGCAATTTTCACCCCCTACACTTTCACTCACTGTCTTTCTTACCTTAACCTTCCCCCAGGTATCCCAAGTATACCAAGCACATACATACACACCACAACGCCCAAGTTAGGAACTCACCTGTGTGTATGTGTAGGTGAGTGGTATGTATGTGAACTGATATACATGTATGTCACTGTGTGCATGATATACAAATTAGTGATCCGTGTATGTATATTGGGTGTGCAGGTATTGGTAATTGATTCTAGTCTAATTTCTTTTGGTCTGTATAGTGTGTGTAGGTGCTTGAATTGGTGATAGGTGTGCATTTGCCTCGGCTGGTAATTTTGGATGTGTATGTGCCTGAATTGGTAATGCATGCCTGGTGGGGGTGCATGCACCTAGAGTGTGTGTATGCGCCTAGTGTGTGTGTTTGCACCGAATTGATTTTTGAGTGTGTGCATGTGCAATCGTGCACCATGCCCTCCTGTCTAACAACACAATATTGAGATCCTGAGAGTTGGCCTGACCCCACAGGGCAACAGCCCCACACAGAGAGGTATGCCTAAATCCCCTGTGGGGGATATGTTCTGAAGGATATGCTCTTAGCAGGATTGACTCACATGAGTAGTACTGAGTTCAACTCAAGGCACAGAAGCCAGTGGTGCCAGTGCACCCCCTGACAGGCCATGCTCCCCACTCAGGTGATGGGCAGAGGTGGCAGGCAGGAGCACGGTCGGCACAGGGGGACCCCCCCCCAGCTGGTGAGATTGGCCACGGGCCCCCCCCCACTGACTGGTTGCTGGGGGGGCATGTTCCCCCCCTGACTAAGGTGGCACCAGTTGCCCATGACAGAAGTCACAGGTACTTTCATTCAAAAATAAATTCAGAGGATGTGCTACTACCCACCTTCTCTATAATATCCAAGTAGGTAGTGCTCTCATCCAGGAAGTAGGGAACCTGAATTTATTTTCCTCCTCAATCCAAGAGGATTCAAGCCCATATTTTCCACTACCCAGGAGATAACCAGTGGGCTATGGGCTAATCTAGAAAAAGATCATCCACCCTGCTTACTGAAGAAGAGCCACCAGAAGAAAGGAATACAAGATTCAAGGACCAAAAGTGAAATAAACAAGAAGCCTGATTCTATAACCTAGTGACTAGGGCAAACAGATGACAGGGGGAAGTCCTGTATGCCAATCCCTGCTCTCAGGATTATTTCTGTTATCTATCCAATGACTGTTTAATGTAAAATGCATTAAAAAGTCTAGGCAAAAGACCGGTGATCAGACAGGAGGATGAAGTCTTAATTTTGGTGTCTTAAATGCTTTTTTAATGCATTTTAAAACACCTCCTTGGGAAGCATATTCCAGATTCTGGTCACCCTTACCATAAAGAAGTTCTTCCTGACATCCAACCTGAAACCATCCTCTAATAGTTTATG